ATAAGTACTTTGCTACTTGGGGCTGTGATGCATATTTTGCTATATTAAGTCTTGCAAAATTTATAAAAGGACCATCAGGTTGAGACAGCATTGATGCCTATATACAATGAAAAACATTAGATATATGACAAAATCTTCAACAAAAAAATGATACATAAATTTAAAACTTTGCTTAAAAAATAAAATAAAAGATAGTATAGTATTAGTTCAATTATTCTTCCACCGGATGGCCGAGCAGTTAGCGTGTCTGACTGCGAAGCCAACGGCTCTAGGTTTGAATCCCGCTCAGGGCATGGAAGTTTCTCTCTGTATGTTAAGCTCTGGTGTGTGAATGTGGCCCACCCTATGAATGAGTATCTGGGGAAGTATGGCATAGGTAATGTTGCTCGCTTCTGTGACTTTCGTCACAAGGTGCTGACCAGGCAATGTAAAATGAGCAACACTTCCGGCACCTTTCATAGCAAAGAGCGATAAGTTCGATGCCGGCCATTAAAAAAAAGTTCAATTATAGTATGTAGTAAATTTGAAATTTTAATTTTTTATAGAATGATAATATTTACTAATCATAAAATGGATTCCTAGATAAAATCGTTGGTCTGAATACTTCAGTTTTAAGATTTAAAGATTTGCGCTATTGTCGAATCCAAAATCTTTCAGATCCTATTTTTCTGAATAAATGTGAAATGTCTATCGCATTGATAGCAGTGGTGTCTTAAATAAAATATTTGATACATCATAGAAAAGTAGAGAATAACAACAAGTAATTATTTCGATAAAGATAATATGGCGAAACAATTCGTTCTAAGCAAGCGCAATAGCGATCAAACTCCATCTTCTTTTCAAATAAAGCAAAACAAAGATGACCATTATCCAGAAGCAATTGTTTGAACTGCTATTCAAGTAGATATCAAATTTAAAGACTTCCATATAAATATGCTCAGTTTTAGACGATTATGCAACGTTTTTTTAAACCACTTTTATAATTATTTACATTCCACGAAATAATTATTAAATCTACAGCTCTCAATTTCCCATAGACAAACTAAAGCTTTTACTTTATCATTTTTTTATTCACGCCCTGTTTAAATTAAATATTTTAGCAGTTTTAATATATAATTTTGAAATGTATTATAAATAATTAAAATGAAACTTACTGTTCCCAAACGGACAAATCTACCAGATGAACTTGTTATAGGTCTAGAAGTGTAAGCTGTACGTGTACGTATGGCTTGTTCCATAGTACCAGGCCTGCCGGATTGTGTTCCAGGACGTATGACTCCAGACAAGGGTCGCCCAGATTGTGTAACTGGTCTAAACAATAGTTTATCAAAGCAGTTCTTAAATAATATTCTAAAAGTTCACTTAATAAAGGCCCAGATTTTGAAAACATTTGCAATTTTGGACCATATTTCCCTTTCAGAGAATTTTTTGGAATGTTTCATTCATTAACAGGCATTTATTACATATTACAATTTAGAGCATTTGCTTTTTTTTTTTTTTAATTCAAGAGTTTTTTTTTTGCAATTTAGGACATTTTAATAATAGGTCATTCTTTTTTATTTATTTATTTGCTTTTTAAATTGTAGCTCTAAATATTTCCATTTTCTACCATATGTCCCCCATTCAACATATACCTCACACTTCAAAGAAAATTACAACTTGATTTTGAATAATACATAATATGTTCATGCAATTCTATATACATTTAGGAAAGAAATAATGTTTCCGATTGAAATTCTTGTTTAATTATGGAGTTTTTTTGCTATTTTAAGAGCATTATGAAGAATTTTTTAAGACATCAAAATTCAAAATCTGAGCTTTTCATATTACATAAAACATTTTCTTAAAAAATTAATCCTGTAGTGACTAAACAGACCATTGAGCAAGTAAACATTTTTTAAAACAAAATTGGGTGAATGATCACATTTTCATTATAAATAATCATAAGCTGCAACTAGGTAGAAGGTAAGGTGGGTCAGGTTGACCCTAGAAATTTGATTATTTATTCTAGAAGTATTTCATTTCTTCAATTTCATGTTTAAAAAAAAATGAATAAAAAACCTTTTACACACATAGTTAGGACTGATTGAGGGGATATGGGCCAGTGAAACAGAAATTTCATAATAATGCCAAAGAAAGTTTTTTGTTTATTAGATCAAAACGAAAAAAAAAAAAAAAACAGCAATTAGAACGAAAAACATATAAGATTGAATCAAGATTTGAATAATCTGAAAACAAATCAAAATAGCAAAAGAACTTGAAATAAAATACGTACAACTCTTAGCAATTAACTGTCGGAAAATAAATAATTACAAGCTTTGTCTGCAATCGAATAAAACTAAAATTTGATTGGTTAATAAGAATGAAATAAAGAAAACATAAAAAATAGTAACCTGTATGCTTGACTTGTTCCCT